TTTTCTGGAAGGGCAGCCTTGCGAATTTTCAAATTCGGGTCGTTTGAATTTTATATGCTGTCAAATTAGTAACGCTATCGCGTGTACCATGACATTTGAATGTAACCCTCCGCGGCGATAATACCCTGGAAATTCCTTGCACCAACCAAATTCCCAGGGATCAATTTGGGGGGAGGTGTATAGGCAAATGATTTGCATCATCAGAGAAATCATGGACACAACGTCCGGATGGATTTTGCCTAAAATGAGGCATCTATGCTTTTAATTGATGTTTAATGATTCTGTTTATTTTCTGAAGCAGGGCTCCAAAGCGCAATACGCCAGGTACCCGTACATGATTTCGATGCGAGACAACGCGCCATACACCACTGCGGGGCTGTGCTGATCGGTGAGAACTGGGCGCTGACTGCGGCGCATTGCCTGGATGCACATACGGCACTCACGACCAGCCCAATTCTCTACATGGGCGGCTGCAATCTGAGCGACGACATGCTATCCGGGGAACTAGAGGTGGAAGGGATCGCTCCAATTGCAAAGCGGCTAGAATATTTAAAGTATTTGCCAGTGGCTGGCGGTGGGCAATCGTGCAGACAAAATGGCAATAGTGGATTACTGCAATAAACAACCTACGGATGCCAGCAGGCAGTCTTAACCCCCGATGGCACACAGATGAAAGTAGTCCCATCGACCCCTGTTTATCTTATAACCTAACGACAATATTCAGGGACCTCTAATAAGTCCCGAGTAGCCTCTCGCCCTTCTTTGTTCCTTACAGATAACCGCCAGCCCCCAGGTGGGATCCCGCAGCCGGTCTGGAGGGGCCATCTCCAGCAAGGCAACGACATTGCCCTCCTGTGGATTGCGTACCCCTCCACCCTCCAGCCCACCGATCTGCCGAGTGCCTTCCTGGAAGTCGGCAACGGTGAAATTCTCGTCGCCTTGGGATGGGGCGCTGATTGGCGACGGAGACCTTCAGGAGGCGGACGGTCTGGCAGCCATAACCAACGCGGTATGCGAAGGGCCAAACTTGTGGGGAGATGTCGTCAAGGATGCAATGCTGTGCGTGTTCGGCTTGATCAGCGGACAGGACACCTGCAAAGGTGACATCAAAAGAACGGCATGTTGTTGATGCCAACTGCGACGCCATAATGGCATTAGATGACGCCATCATACATTTTTATTGTCGCTCCATCCCTTTGATGGCATCATTTGCTTTAATTGAATCCAAATTGGCATCGCCAAAATATTCTCTTTTGTTGGCAGCATCGAAGCTGTTGTCTCGGCTGTATGCTTAGTCGAGTCAGATTTGTGATGTCTGTGAGACATGCGTGTGGTGCAAGCAATTATAACATTGTAGATGAGGCGGAATCGAAATCTACCTCGAAGTTCCAAATGCTGCCCTTACGCTTGTTAGTTGAGGTGTCATCGATGACGACGTTGCCTTCTTGCATTCGCAGTTGCTCACTCCCGCAACATTTGCCACGGTAGATAATTAACCGTATGTCACAAATAGCCTCAATGTCTAAATCGTAGTAAGTTTCACAAATCCATGTGCAAATTGTGTTGAACACCGCCAGATGGACCAAATCATGCCGTCATGATCGTATGTGGCAGCTTTGTCCCCAGCATTGTTGAAGTTCTAGCTCTCCCATGTCTTCATCGCCTTTGGGTGATTGCTTCAATGTCGTTTGGTTTTGAAGCAAGTGAGAAGCTCTTGCTGTAACTTAATGCTGTGGCACACTGCCTGAATGCAGTTATTCATCATTCATCGGATCAATTCCAAGTTATTTCTTGCATCTATCCATCTTTCAAGGACATCATGTTTGCAATGCCAACGACAATTTATTCTTGCGCATTTGCGACCAATGGATTATGGATACTATCTTGCAGGACCTTTGCATTCATTGTGTGATTCAAGCATGCACTTCGATTCTTACTTGGATCCGGCACGTAACCTACCTGCTTCAATATGTAGTGTATATTGGTTGAAAAACAGAAGTCTAATATGAAGACAAAATTTAAGCCGGTTCAATCCTAAATCTTTTGTACACCTTCAATTCAAAGCGGCAATACTGTGGGCTTATTTAAGCATATCGAATCAAAGAAAAAGAGAGGAAATAATTGACTGCAAATAGCATTGGATGTACGCTCAAAAAAACGCCATTCAATGGTGATCAGGGGACAGCGACGGACTACTGTTGAGAGCCTTGAGTTCCGGTGGCAGCACCGTTGAACGGCAGCCTCGAGGCGCCATCCTCATGGACCTTACGTCATTTGGCGACAAGGCAACGAAATGTGGCAGATCAGACAAACCAAGTGTGTATACAAGGTTCAGCTACCATCGCAGATGGATCGGCACAGTGATAGAGAATGAGGGTCAGTGATAGAGAATGAGGGCCAGTAAACAAGGTGCCGAAACTGGAAAAGAGAGCTGCATGCGGTACTAGCAGGGAAATGCATGGCATAATACACAGTCCACTGCCGTGTCTAAACTGTGTTGAACGATTAAAACTCGGAAACTTCAACTCCAGTTGTGTAGGTATAGCTCCTCTTCTTCAAGAAATGGTTTTATGGGTTTGAGATTCATTTATTGCAAGCATCTTGGCATCGTTTGGCACTACAGTCCCTGCAAAGCAAGTGTGCGAATATGATTCTGTTCAAATTCAATGGCAATTGAGGAATGGCAGCAAGGTGTCAGCATATCATTGAAGATACCTCAAGAAAGTCTTTTTAGATTTCGAAGTCTGTGCTCCACACACCCAAACCCGTCCCATTCGGCCGGTGAGAAATGCAGAGAATGAAGAAATCTATTTTGAACGTTCCCTTCTCGCAGGCAGTAGGCAGCCAAGATCATGTCTAGTGCCATTGCCTGGCCACAAATCAGGAACGACCTTGTTACGTGTGGGTACCAGGGAATAGCGTTGTGCACTTACTGAGATTCGGTTCTGACCGACGTTTGGCGGCTCAGCAAGATTCTTGCTTTGTCATTTGGAATCCTGGAATTTGCCGCTTTCCATCCAAAGGTGTTTTAGAACTCGCCGTCTCTACCGAAGGAATGTCTCAAAGTGCAATATGCGTTGAAATATGGTCGTGTGTGGTATTTAGTGCTGACTACATACAACGATTAGGCTTTGTGGCGTTTCCTCCTGCACATTGTTTGCACTTCTCCAGCCGAGCTCAGATAATTGCATTTTTAAGTGTTTAAGCATATTCTTGCACTCTAATATCGTCTTCGACGATTAATGTTGGCGTGAACATTTACTGGCGTGATCAAATAAGAACAGTATTTACATTTCACGGACAAATGCGTAGAATTACGTAGCATATATCTTCTGTACATAAAGACAGTACGTACAGACACGAATTTTTGCTCGACGTCGTCGCCCTCGCTGAGGGTGAGGTGGACACTGTGTTGCGGGTGCTCGAGGAGCTGAGGGCTGATCATTGCCTGCGAATTCATCATGTAGCCTGGTGGACTCAGTGCGCCATGAAAATAATAAAATGTAGATGTTTCGGTGGCGCTTGTCTACAAGTAAAAATTTTAATTTAACATAGTATCGTAAACGCAGAGACTGGCGTAAATGACTTGAAATGGAGAACACAGTTCGATTTAGACAATTTCGGTTGCAGGGTCTACCCCTTTGATTCCATGGGAGACTGCATCATGTTCAAATAGTATTTTAGGTGGCCATGAAACGATCATGGGCTGCGCGCTGAACATTAATATGATGGCGGTGACAACAATTGATGCTACCATTTGATGTGTTTCAATTCCGGGTAAAAGCAATACATATAGTACGCTGCACAATCGCCTTATCGCCAGTATCGGATGTGCAGCAGTTGAATGCTGTTGCGCAAATGTTTTACCATACTTTCCAGGCATTGTGATCTACCCTTTATTAGTATCCACCCCTCATATCGGGGCTCGAAAGTCACGCTAACATGGCGTTTTCTAGAGCTCCTCGCAGCTGTTCTGTATTTCCTACAGGTTGGGCCTCCTGATCTGCCAAAAACGTGAGATTTCCAGTCGAAGAGGGGGCATTCAAGAGGCACCAAACGCATTCACCCTTTAACCGGAGAAAGACGGTTCCCAAGTTCCAGGGAGGATAAGTAGCAGGAGAGGGTAAGGTACGGGCAGGATTCACCGAGCAAAGGGGGGCCACATCGTCATCAAGATTGAGATATGTGGTGATTTGGAGTAATCGACGAGGAGAGGGGCGGTGCCTGTGGGCGCATGAAGTGTTTTTGTTGCTCTTGTCAGCGATTTGTAGCTATCCTAGCGATGTTTTTGCAAGGGCGGGTCTAGAGATGTGCATGTTCAATATAGCAAAGTGTGCATATGGTTGGAGCTTCGATGAGTTTGCTGATTTCCTGCTTGCACAGTTTTGGCACATGTGTTTTGCGCTTGCTGCCGTCGGTTACCTTCGGCCATGTGCCTATCTTCTTGTGCAAGTGCTATACTGTAATTTAGTTTTCCTGGTGACAGTTGCTACCAGGTAGGTAGGTATACAGCGAGCTAGAGCGATGATCGGGCTACAGTTCCATTATGAAATCGCGTCGTTCTCAGCACGGCATGCAGCACTAGCAGAAAAAGGACCAAATAACACGTTCTGCGAACACATATGTCTGCATTTCATCAGTGTTCTGCATGCTAAAAACACAAAACATAACCCAAACCTGTAAACTTTGTACATGTTTTCGCACGTGTTATTTGGCCCTTCTTCCTAGTGCAGCGTATGTCGGGCCAGCCACAATTTACCACCTGGCAAGAAAGAGATTCACCCAAAACACGATAATCTATTGGTTGAAAATTCGGCTGAAGTTGATGAATCAGGATTGTTCTGTTCGACGATTCTATCCACGTCAATTTGTGTCGTCATTAATTGGATTATATCGCTACTCCAATGTACGCATTTGTTCGATTAGCGTACAGACAGAAAAGAAATGAGTGCCCAAATTAAAACAATTCAAATGTAGTACTACTGAAGTCGCCTCCGTCCTTACGCCACTCTGTCCCACACTCGAACGGTTTTGTCATAAGACGCAGAAAAAACGCAGTCGTTGGTGACCGCCATCTTAATGACCTCGGCAGTGTGCCCTTTCAGTACCCGGATGCATTTCCAAGTGCCGACCCTCCACACCCGAATGGTATTGTCCTTCGATCCCGAAAACAACAAACTGCTCCTGACTACCAATGACATCACCCAATCAGTGTGCCCATTCAGCTCTCTGACGCAATCCCAAGTGGCAATGCTCCAAACGCGAATGACTCCACGGGAATCCCCTGAAATCAAAAAATCACCACTGACCGCCAACGACAACACGTAACCAGAGTGCCCTCGAAGCACTCGCTGGAACATCCCATCCCCCCGTCTCCATATTCTGATGGTCTCATCCCAGGAGCCAGAGAACAAGAAGCGGTCGTTGACAGCCAACGACCAAATGTAATGGGTGTGCCCTTGGAGCACGCCCTCGCACCTCCACGTGCCAACATTCCACATGCGGATGCTCTTGTCCTCAGAAGCAGAGAACAAATGATCTCTTGTCCCTGCCAGTGTCCACACCCACCTGGTGTGCCCTTTCAGAACGCACATGCACTCCCAGGTCCCCATCTTCCACACCCTCACAGTGCTATCACCAGACCCAGAGAAAAGATATTCGCCATTGGCTGCCCATGATAACACATTACCCGTATGCCCCTTGAGCACTGACTGGGTGGACCCCCAACGCCCAGTCTCCACACACGAATCTTTCCGTCATCGGATCCAGACACCAGCCAGTCTTTGGTCACGACCAGCGACAGCAACCAGCACTCGTGCTTGAGGATGTGCTCGCATCGCCAATCTGGATCTTTGAACGCTTGCCCACCGTGACCATGCGCTTCCTGTTGTCCCACACAGGTCTTGGAAAGCCAAACGGCAGCACCATCTGCAACTGAAACTGAATTCATTTGTATAATTTATAATGCCTTCTATTTAGCAATACATAGCTAAACTTACTTGAATATTCAATGCATAAATTGTGCATGTTGCGAATGTGCCGTTGGTTCAGTACTTTAGCGATGCATGCAACGGAAACACTGCACAGTGTTCATTGCCACCCAGGCTGCGACGGAGGAACTCTATGATAGGCATGAAATGAGAAGCAGGGAGAATCAAATAGAAACTATGAATTAAATGACACGGCAGTCATGGGCTGGAAAGGGGAACTTAGGATCACGCATTTTAAAGGCAGAGATGTGGAAGGGAATTGAGACACAAAGCGCAAAAAAGTGTAAAAATGTAAAAATGTAAAAAAAGAAAATGTATGGAAAAAATAGTGTCCAGACTCGTGATGGGGACACTCAAGGAGCTTGGTGCGCATATTGGACAAATTGCTGGGCAGCGAATAACGAAGCTGTCCTGCAGGCCGCCTATAAGGGGAGTCTGCTGTGCGCATGACTTTCTGTAACAATTGACATGAACCCTTTGGCAGAGACCCCGTGGCCCGCTGGCCACAGGCGGGACTCGACCTGAGGCGGCAGCCTAATGTGTGGGCGCGCCTATGCGAGGACCTATCAAAGGCCCTGAGGTCACATGGACCCTGAACTGCCTAAAGTATTTCAAGTTGCGTTTTGGATATCCGGGCGATTCTAAATCCAAATATGCCATCACCAAAATATATCGGCTTGCAGTAAAATTTAATGCATTGTGTACTTTATCGCAATCGCACATAGGGACATTTCTTAAGCTTAACGATGAAGACGTGGATGCTAACATTCACTCCAAAGTTTTGAATTGGTCCTAGTCCATTCGCTAAAAGTGCTCATCATCGTTGCTCATTTGTACAGGCATCTGGAAGTCCAGATCTACACGGATGTGCTATTCAAACTGAGGAGAGATTAATCTGTATGCAGACAGCCAGGCGTGGAAACGCCCAGAAAGTTTAGGTTGTCTTCTGAACATCCGTGACCGTTTTAAAGTCCAAAACTCTCGGTACCAAATACATCGACTCATATTGACAATTAATGAATTTCTTACATAATAACAATTGCACATCAAGATACTGCTTCAACTTCACGATGGAGACATGGAATGCACAGTGGATTTGGCGTTCGCCAGATTCCTTCAACAGCGTTGGCTCGATCTGACTGAGTTGACGCTCCCGGAGTAATCCTATCTTGGCTGGGTCGGCCAGTGGTGCTGATCCCACTGGTGTGACCAACAGCCCATCCCTTATCTTCCCCTTTGGTCTCTGTTTGCTCATTGTGTCCAAGCCTTTTAGAGGGAGGGATGGAGGTGGGGGCAAGTGTCTATCAGTACACTTTGGATCATCAGCGGCGTTGGCAGCATCACCACTATTGGCACTGTAGGCAATACCATGCAAGTCCGTTGATGATGGAATGTGTGCTGGCAGGGAAACCAGGGTCCATGGGTTGACGGGAGGCAGCCAATGTCACCAACAGTGCTAGTGCCAATGCTCAAAGGAGGTCAGACACTGATGTCTTGACATATCCTTGGATTTCAGCAGTGGAAATGTGCATGCATGTAGTGCATTTGAGCTTTGTTGAAAGAGAATGTTGATGTGTGCCTTTCAACTTAATTTTGAAATTAAAATGCAACATATCATTAAAATCCACTGGCATTTGAGTCGAAAGGAACATTGAAAGACAGGTGGAAGAACACTGGTTTGTGAAAGACAGGTTTGCTTGAAACCATCATGGTAATATACACTGTCAACAGCATGTCCTTTGCCACTGTTCTACCTGTTGTTGTGCCGTTCATCAATTGGACATGCTATCTAGTGTCATCACCAGTAGATAGTCGTTGTCGCCTGTCACAAAACTTTTATTGGTGCTGCTCAATACCACCAGCCCAAGATCAACACCAGTCTATGCAACAGGTAAACATTTTTACACTGTGCTTGTGAATGGCATGTTTTGACAAATACTGATCCTGTCAGTCAGTTTAATTGCGATTGGGCTTTTCAATACATCATAATTAGGCAACAGTCAGTGGCAGCAGTTTTGTGCTGCCTTTGTTGGGAAAACATGGCCAGTAGCACTGACTTCCAATATACACCATTGCTGGTGTACTTATGCATTCGAAGATACATAGTTAACAAACTGACTAGGAAATAAATTCCCTTACAGTTCTTGCTGCACTTTCAGAATCCATTCATTTCACACAAACTCCTGCTGGAGATTGTACGGTCCCATGCTCATCATTCAAAACACAAAGCTACAAGTTCAAACCATTTGGCAAATTCTGACAAAACTTCCAGCTGAATATTCACACATGGTGTTCCTGTACATGTGTCCAGGCACACCTCATCTTCCGCAATGTCTTCCACCACAGCATCTGGTGTCTCCCCAGATCTTGGTGGCTGCAGTGCAAGTCCCCGGATCTGATCGCTCCAATGATCTGGCTTTGCTGCATGCTCCCCAGCTGCTCCTTGAAGGTTGCTGGATCCAATCTTTGGCAAATATAAAATTGAGTCACTCATGGACATATGCACACTATTGCACAACAAGGACATAAAAATTGCTTGTCCAGCAAATGTACGGAAAAATTTGCAGTGGCAAAGTGTCAAGATCGTCAATAATGATGCATGGGCAAAATTCACCTTATTCAGAGGTTGCTGATAAGGACTCCAATTTTCTGGCAGCTCCTGCAAACATTGGGTGATTTCCATCATGGTTGGCCGTTGTGCAGGGTTGATGGAGCAACAGCGCTGCATTAGCAGCTGCATTTCTTCAGGACAATCCTCAGGTCGTATTGTGCATGGCTCTGCACCAGACAGCTTCCTCTCTATAACTGTAGCATTTTTCACATCAGCGCACATCAGCTTGTCTGCTCCATATGGATGTGTTCTTGTCACTACCTCATATATGACAACCCCAAAGCCAAAGATGTCAGATGGGGCCGAGGTAGGCTCCCCTTCATACAGTTCAGGTGCCATCCACTCCAGCGTTCCTCCTCCCAACCTGGTCATCTTGCTCCTCCCTTTGACAGCTTCAAACGCAAGTCCAAAGTCTGTGATCTTCACGTTGCAGTTTTCTGGATCCATCCCAAATATGAGAAAGTTCGAACTTTTGATGTCTGAATGGACAACAGGAGGAGAAAGTCTGTGCAAGAAACATAACCCTTTTGCGGCCTGCCGGAGGAGGTTGAGTGTCCCTCTCCAGCCAATTTGCATTGAGCTTTGACACAAAGCCCCAAGATCCGTGTCCGCCTTTTCCATGACCAACCATCCAGATGGATTGGTTGCAAGCACCTGGACAACATTGGGGTGTCTGAGCTTCGCGTGCACAACCACTTCCTTGACAAAGCCTGCAAACTCTTCAATTGGCAGGTCGCCTTCAGCAAGTGGCCTCTTTATGGCCACTGTATCATTGCCCCACTGTGCCTCATACACGAGACCATATCCACCTTCACCTATCAGCCTCTGCAGGGCAAGAGCATCTTCAGCAATGATCAACAAGAATTTCAGCTCATGTTCATGGGCATGCTTGATGTTCATCCATAGATGGAGCAAGTTCTTGTCGACGCCACTCTCCTTGCCCTTGAGGATGTAGCAAAGCAGTTTGTGCAAGTACTCCCTGTCATCCCTGATGAAGCCTGTGGGCACAGCACCTTCAAGCTCCGAGGCACAATGCATCTGCCATTTTTGAGTCTGCGCCTGAAGAAACCCACAGGTTTCATCAATAGTTTTGCGAACATCGTCAATCTTGTAGAAGGTTCTGATGTCAAATGGCTCTGAGTGCATGACGAGCAGCCTGTTTGCCTTTTCAATGCACAGATGGAAAGCTTGCCATTCTTCTGTCGTTGCAACGGATGGTCGCTCCAAGTCTTTCACTCTTTCCAGCTGTTGGTGGAGAAAGGACAGCATGTTGTAGTTGTACTGCAGCCCTTGCAACGCACTGTGGCTTGCCTGTTGCAGCACATGATTCCGATGTGTAAGGCCCCCATCTCTGTTTCACATGTGTAAGGTGGCTTCAGAAGCTACCTTACAAATGTGAAGTATTTGTCTCCACACAATTGCCATGGTGAAAGTGCACTATGCTAAACATGCAATGCAGAGTGTCATCACATGCAGTCTTGATATTTAGCAAGCACAAAATGGCTTGTTGCCAACCAAGTCTGACTGCCTTGCACAGGGGATGCGATTACTGGCACATGTGTCACATGAAATGCTGAGCAGCATCACGTGTGCTATTGATGTTTGCAAGCACAAACACAGCTTGTTGCCATCCAGGTCCGACTACCAGTACAGGGCATGTGTTTCCTACCATGGCCAGCTGCACTATCCAAACCATCTGACTGTGGTCAGGAATTAGCTACAGAACATGGTTCCATTATTTTGGCAAACTGCAGGGCAAAGTGCAAATTCCATCGGAAGGAAATAAATAATGGCCCTGCATGTCCCCAACCCACAACTTTGCAGCTGCAGCATGGCATCAACGGGATCCAATCTCCCCAATGCTTGCGCCCTCTGCCGCTATTCCACACAACAAGACTTGAGCTGGACGGGCCTTCAGTCACAAATCGGGGCAGCGCGGCCTGCATCGCCAATTGTCTATCAGCGAGGCATTGCGATCTCCGGCACTCCCCACCAACTCAATCCCCCGTCCAGTTCTCCGGTATGTGAAGACGTTTGCCGTCTCACGACGTCGCAGTGGGAACATCGATCGGGTTTGCCCCTGCAGCCACTGCCACGCAATGCCCCATGCAGCGACGTGCGGCGCCCACAGGGGTGGTACTTGGGACCTCACATTCGCTAGCGGCGAGCCCCCGCTCCTATCTTCAAAGCCACCCGAGGTTGGCGGCAGGGCGCCTCCCCTTCCCCCTCCTCGGGTTGCCGCCTGCCATGGCCACTCACCGCTTCTCCGTGACTTACCTCCATCGCGTCTCGACGCCCCGTGCCGAGGGCGAAACCGCCTTAATTTGAGCACGCCCACCCGCGGGACCCCTGCGAGACAGTGGGGTGGGAAACGGTGAGCGCCTCGGCTGGGCTCCGGACGGTGCTTCGGCCTCGCCCCCAAGGCGCTGCACGGCATCCACACCAGCGTGCAAGAGATGCCATTCTCCAGGCTCCCCGAGTCTGTACGTACGGTCTTTATGTACAGAAGATACATGTTACGTAATTCTACGCATTTGTGCGTAAAACGTAAGTATTGTTCTTAGCTGGTCACGCCAGTAAATGGCCACGCCAACATTCATCATCGAAGACGATACAAGAGTGCAAGAATATGAATAAACACATAAAAACGGAATTATATAATTGCTCAGATATATCTGAGCTCGGCTGGAGAAGTGCAAGCAGTGCGCAACAGCAAACGCCAGAGAGACTTGCGTGAATTGCTGTGTTGTCTACAAGTAAAAATTTTAATTTAAAATAGTATCGTAAACGCAGAGACTGGCGTGAATGACTTGAAATGGAAAACACAGTTCGCTTTAGACAACTTTGGTTGCAGCGTCAACCACTTTGATTCCATGGGAGACTGCATCATGTTCAAATAGTATTTTTGGTGGCCATGAAATAATTATGAGCTGCGCGCTGAACATTAATATGATGACGCTGACAACAATTGATGCTGTCATTCGATGTTTCCAATTCAGGGTATGAGCAGTGCATATAATACGTTGCGCACTCGTCTTATCGCCAGTATCGGATGTGTGGCAGTTGAATGCTGTTGCGCAAATATCTTACCATACATTCCAGGCAACGTTATACACCCTTTATTAGTATCCACTCCACATATCGGGGCTCAAAGTTCACGCCAACATCCATATACTGCTAGCAATACCTGCGCAATAGCACAGGCGCTGTGATCTCTCCGTGGTGAACGCTTGCACTAGGAAAAAAAGAGCCAAATAACACGTGTTCAAATGTGTGCAAAGTTCATGTGTTTGTGTTATTTTTATGTTCTTAGCGTGCATTCTTAGCGTGCAACTTTGATGAAATGTTTTTTATGTGTGTTCGAAAAGTTTGTTTGGTACCTTTTTTGCTAGTGTTGAAATCTGGTTTATTGGCATTTTTCAGAGCTCCTCACAGCCTCGAAAGCGTGAAGCTTGCTTCGGTGGGTGGGAAACCAGGATATTCGTTTGTCGAGTAGCCGCATGACAATTGCAAGTGCTTGAGAGGCATTTTACGGATTTTATGTGTGCGTGAGGGGCATGTTCAGTGTTGTCATGGACGCTTGGATTTCAGTACTGCGACTTCGCGGGTGTGAGTTTTTCCTTGCTGGTGCCGGTGTTTGCGTAACCCAGATTTCTTGATCCTTCCTGGAATTCCTTGGATTCAAGATTCGAATTCCCCTGGTGTTCCCTGGATCTAGATTCCAAAACTTGTCACTATCCATGAAAAGTAGCGAATGTACAACGTTTTGTTTTGTTCCATTTCGGTGTCACTGTTTACGCAAACCAGCACCAGATATTGACATTGTCAGTGTCTCTTGAGCAAGTTTTTTGAGACTCTAGTACATGCACTGCACTCAAACAAAGCTGTATTGGGATCATCATAGCACTTTGTGCTGCCTTACATGTAAGGCATACGGGATAGGGATAAGGATACTGTACAGTATCCGAGCGCCAACTTCAAGGAATGCAAAATGGTGACAAGCTATTAGAATGTAGCAATGTGGTCAAGGGAGAGCGGAATGAAGCTATTCAATGTATATAAACAGATAAGAAATTTTAGATGTTCATGATCCACGAACATGATGACGCTGGCAATGCTGTACGCAGACGGAATTCGGAGTTCCTGCAGCAACTTCTGCAGCCACTCCTGCGGCCACTCCTGCGGCCACTCCTGCGGCCACTCCTGCGGCCACGCCTGCAGCCACTGCTAAACCCATTACTGCAGCCGCTCCTGCAGCCGCTCCTGCAGCCGCTCCTGCAGCAGCTCCTGCAGCCACTCCTATAGCCGCTCCTGCATCCCCGACTCAGCAGCAAGTCCCGCAGCCATTCCTGCATCCACACCTGCATCCGATCCTGCGCAGGATAACTCACTGGAAGAGCATAAAGCAGATGAGAGCATTTGCATAGGAAACATTCAGGTTGAAACGGGACCTATATAGCTATAAAGCTGGCAAGGTGAAGGAAATTGTTTATCATGGCTGTTTTGGCAACCATTGTCCATGGACTCCATGCCTGATGAAGTCCTCACATTCCGTTGTGGGGTTGTATGTCACACAGTGTAGCAGCAAATGGCACCACCAGCAATAGGTTCTATTTTCACCTTGATTAGATTCATCATGCCTAAAGGAATTCCAAGAAAAGAAGAGATCCGCGGCCGTATGGCCACGATGTGCTATGCCTTTCCAGTAACAGCGCATTCAGTGGTACGTGCTCAAGCTGCCGCACAAGTTGTATTCTGCTGCAATCTATGCATCAGCAAAGGGTACAGCAGTGCACACCTAGGAGCCCTTTCAAGGCATAAAGAGGTTTTCAGTGACAAGAGTGGTGTCCAGTGCTCAGTGTTTTTCCTTTTGAACAACGACGCGCAATAATTTGGTTTCTTGATTCTGACAGGCTCTGCTGAAAAGAAACACTCCATCAGTTTCGTGGTTTGCCCCAGTTGATGAGCAACTGTCCGGCATGGCATCTTGCACAATCCTGACCATGCACCTTCTTAAAGCCATGGCTGTTGTCCAGGCACAATGGTGGGCTACCCCTCTGGAAAAAACTGATGACACTGAACGGCGACAACCACAACACAGCTTGGGGGTGCAGAATGTTGTGAAAAGGAAGTTGGAGGTTGTCTAGCTTCACAAGCAACCTGTTGAGGGTGCAGGCCTGGACGCAGGGTAGGTACAGGTAGCCTCTGGCTACATGTCCCCAGTCAGCGCGCCTGTCATGCACGTTCCCTTGCCCACTTTTAATGCCTCTGGGATGTGGTGCATCAGTTGGGTGAGTTTGCTATGCTGTCAACGACGTTTGCGCACTGTGAGTTGGTTGTTAACGAACAAGTCACGGGAGAATGGGATTGAGGGCTTCTGTTTCGCTGCAGCTAGCCATTGCCGTGCAAAACAGTGCGGTTGCCTGGTTCGCGTGGGTCATGAGGGAAATATCAGCGGGGAAATGGGCTGATGGACAGCCTGGGCACCCTTACCCGATGCCTGGCGCCTGCGTCGCTCGCCCGTAAGTCGTCTGGCAGCCGCCTGAAATGCACGACACGACGCCGTGGCTCCCAACTCAGGGCTTCCAGCCCACTGCCGTGGCAACGTGTGGCCCCACCACTGGCCCCTATTGCAGCAATTGGGCGCATTGTCGTGTGGTGGCATTTGGCCGAATCGGGCTGTTGCCGCCCAAGTTTGCCCCAAAAGAGCCTTGGGGCCGGAGATTGCTGCATCAGCGCAGTGAACTCTTGCTTGCGGCGTGGGCGCCTGTAGGCCCTGCTGGCAAGGTCGACGACCAAGTCAAAGGAACGGTCGTTGGCAGCAGCGGGAGGCTATGATGACTGCCGGGAGGTTTGGTGGCCTCCTTGAAATGGCGGCATGGGAAAGAGTAGCATGCTGTTTTTGAAACGTTTGTGGTGTTGGCAGGCAGTCGCAACGTGTCCTCGGAGCCGCACGCTGGAGAGCAATTCTGGTGAGCGTTGCAGTGCCGGTTGCGCTCTCTACGGGTTTGTTTCGGCCGTTGTGAAATGGCAGCACGCGAAAGGGTGGGGAGTTTGAGAAAGTAGTCGTAGGCAAGGGGTCGCCGTGCCCATGTCGCGTCGTGATCTTCACAAGTTGGTGAGCATTCTGGCGATCGTTCTAGAGCGCCAGATCTGTCGGCGGTGGGAACTGCACAGGTTTGCTTTAGGAGGGCACTCTGAACGGCGGCTTGCGAAAGGGTGTTGCTGCTTGAAGTTTTGTGTTGTGGGCAGGGGTTCGCCGCGTCCGTGTCGTGTCGTGGTCTTCACATGCTGGTAAGCATTCTGGCGAG